ACAAACCAATGGCGCCGTACGTGAGCATCCTCGCAGGCCTCTTAGCCCGCAGCATCGGCCCCAAGGGCTGCTCTGTCCCTGCCTGCGTGCCTGGGTGATGGGCAGGGCTGGAGGCCTTGGAGAGCAGCGGCCATTACGGGCACGGAGCTCCCAACAGCTGCCCCCTGGCCCAGCTGGGCCCCACTTGAGGAGGAAGGAGGCTCCCAGCCCTGGCCTGGCTGAGCAGCTCCTGCCTCCTTTGGCCTCTGCTCTGGGCCCCATGCTGGCCACCCCGACAGCCCCTGGGCCAGGCTGTGGGAGGGCTGCTTTGCCCTCACCTGGCTCCCTGCCATCAGGGCCCTCCTGCTCCCTGTCGCACATGGCGGCTGTCAGCGCTGAGTCCCTGTGCAGGAACGCCGCTGCGTCCACCAGGTGCTGGTCCTGTCTCTCTCTGTGGGAGAAAGAAGAGTGATGGGAGTTTGCAGAACAGGCCCAGAGCTACAAGGGTGCTACTCCCTGGTAAGCCCTGCGTGAGCCCTGCTCCTGTCCGCCTTCTGCTCCCGTCGTCGCGTTCAGGAACACCACCGTCTCCTCTGGATGTTCCTGCGCTGATTCTGAGAAGGGAGAGGCAGGTGAGCCTGCAGCACAGGCCCAGAGCCCCGAGGTGTGGGGCCCCTCTGGTCCCTGGGCAGCTGCTTCCCTGCCTTACCTTCTCCTCCCGTTGCCAGGTCGCACTGACACACGGCCTGAGCCCAGCCTTCCCTTTTGGGGCCAAGGGAAATCTCTGCTCCTGGCCCCGGCACTGGGCGCTTTCTCAGCCGGTCAGGCAAAGTGATGCTCCACAAGAGAGGCATGAGCATTGCAGGCAAGCCTACATCACTGCAGTCTTGCCAAAGGGCACCAAGAAGAAGCCAAGAAACTGCAGGCCCATCAGCCTCTCCTCCATCTCCCGACAGGTGACAGAACACCTCCTCCTGGATGTCATCTCCAAAGCTCTGGAATAACAGGAAGGGAAAACCCTGCTTGAGGAATCTCATAGCATAGCCACCTCTGCTGCAGTGACTGGCTGGGTTTGTGTGGGGAGAGCAGTGGCTGAGTTGTCAGCTGTAACTTCAGCGAGGCTTTGTCCCTGCCTCCCATCACATGCTCCTGAGGCAGCTGAGGGAGAGTGGGGTGGAGAAGTGGACAGTGGAGCTCCAAACTCAGAGGGGTTGTGACCTCAGGGGGCCGTGCTGGGGCCAGCCTTGTTTGCCTTATTCCCCAGTGACCTGGCAGAAGGGACGGAGCGCTCCCTCAGCACGTTTGCTGATAGCACAGAAGCGGGAGCAGGGGCTGATGCACCACAAGGCTGTGCTGCTCTCCAGAGTGACCTGGACAGGCTCGACAGCCGAGCAGAGAGGGACCTAATGAAGTTGCTCAGGACAAAGCCTCTAGAAGAGCTTGAAAATTGCTAGGCAAGAATAGTTGTTTTGCATATTGGAATGTATAAGGTCATGTGGTGATGTCCAGTCAGGGGAACCACTCAATCTCTGTAAGTTACAGAACCAGTTCCTTAACTGTGTAAAGAAAGTCTTTGAGGCAAACTGCAAATTCAGAAACTTCTCCTAATATGAAGCTGGATGTTCACCATTTTCTGGCATGCTGGATGAAGCATAGGGATTCCAAAAGGAATGTGAAAGCAAGCCAATAAATCTTCTTTTAGAGTTCACACGTGTTTCCTGCTTGTTCCTTGAAGAACTTGCCAAACAATGTTACTTTTGAAATCCATTCAAAGATCTAATAGGAAAAAATATTGTCCAAAAGTGTTAGCCTGTGTTTCTGAATAGGAACATGTTTCTTGTGTCAATTCAAGATTTGTACCAGGGTTTGGGGTTTTTTGGTGTGTATGCTTTGAATGTAAGTTGCTTCTTTGCAGGACTTTGAATAATTAGACTTTTAGTAATTAGGTTGTGCAGCAGAGACAACATTTTACTGCGTGCTGCTGTCCGTGCTGAAAAGGGTTGAGAAAGAGTCGGTGGCTGTGTGTCGATGCATAACTTGCGGGAGCAGCACCGGAGCAGTTCGCAGGGCCTGGAGAAGCAAACGGGTTCCTGGTGCTGAGGACAAAGTGTCCACAGCTCAGGATTGCATGGCTGAGCTCTTCTGGCTCCTTCTGCTTCAATGCCTTGCCGAGACACAGGTTCCCTGCAGAGCCCCGGGTGCAGCTTCCCAACTCTCCCCTTTTCTTCTGCCTCCTCCCTGCCTCCTGGGTAAAGGCATTCCCTGGCATTGCACCTGCTGTGCCTCCCTCCTAGTTCAGTGAAAGCATTGTTTTCCACCCAAGGGGGCTCTCCCCTGGAAACAGGAACATGGATGAACTCCCGGTGCCCCAGCATCAGGCAGGTGCAGGGTATCTCTGCTTGTCAGCCCCTGCCCTGTTTCCCTGGGATCCCGCTGACTGTTCTAGCAGTCAATGATCTGGACTTTGCAGGAGCGTGTTTGCAAAGACGTGAATGCGAAAACTCTACAAGAACTGTTTGTATGTGTCATGTCTTTACTTTTTTCAAAATATTTGCTAGAAGGAAAGCATGGACCAAACTGACAAAGTTCTTTAATGTGGGAAAAGCATTTGACTCCTGAGCTGAGTACTGTTGCAAGCTCTCCAGTCAGATACAAGGTAATCTTTCATTGAATTTCCCGGGTTTCCATTGAGTCAATGTAAAGAATGAGCTTTCTAAGGAGCTTAATACTAATTTTTCCACTTAATATGAAATGTCAAATTCATTAGATGGTTAGATGACAGGAGAATTGAGGTTGGGAGGCAGCTGCAGTGGTCCCCAGCTTTATCTCCTGTTCCCAACGGTGATCAGCACGGGCATGAAATCAGGTTCATCTCAGTTTACTGCAGAGAGGTCTTGAGGAAAACGTCGGTGCACCAAGAGCAGGTTTGGAATCTGTGCAGTGCAAGAGACTCTGCACAAGCTCTCTGGGCAACTGACTGTCAGGGGCAGGAGCCCTGGCGTGGCCGTGCCTGAACAGCACCTTTCTGCCTACAGTGCCACCCTCGATGACTGCCCTGGGGCCTGGGATTGGACCCTGCACTTGCTGCAGGTGTCCCTGGCCTGGTTCCGTGCTGACCAAAGGCTTGGAACCATCTCAGAACCTCGGTTCCCAAGGGGGCGGCCTCAAGTGGCTGCCGGGCAACTGAGGCCATGGCTGCCTGAACCTTGGGAGCAAGATGCTGATGTCAGAGTGGCCATTGTGACGCGTGCGACCAAAGCCCCAAAAGGGAAGGCTGGGCTCAGGCCGTGTGTCAGTGCGACCTGGCAACGGGAGGAGAAGGTAAGGCAGGGAAGCAGCTGCCCAGGGACCAGAGGGGCCCCACACCTCGGGGCTCTGGGCCTGTGCTGCAGGCTCACCTGCCTCTCCCTTCCCAGAATCAGCGCAGGAACATCCAGAGGAGACGGCGGTGTTCCTGAACGCGACGACGGGAGCAGAAGGCGGACAGGAGCAGGGCTCACGCAGGGCTTACCAGGGAGTAGCACCCTCGTAGCTCTGGGCCTGTTCTGCAAACTCCCATCACTCTTCTTTCTCCCGCAGAGAGAGAGAGGACCAGCACCTGGCGGAGACAGCGGCGTTCCTGCACAGGGACTCAGCGCTGACAGCCGCCATGTGCGACAGGGAGCAGGAGGGCCCTGATGGCAGGGAGCCAGGTGAGGGCAAAGCAGCCCTCCCACAGCCTGGCCCAGGGGCTGTCGGGGTGGCCAGCGTGGGGCCCAGAGCAGAGGCCGGGGCAGGCAGGAGCTGCTCAGCCAGGCCAGGGCTGGGAGCCTCCTTCCTCCTCAAGTGGGGCCCAGCTGGGCCAGGGGGCAGCTGTTGGGAGCCCCATGCCCGCAATGGCCGCTGCTCTCCAAGGCCTCCAGCCCTGCCCATCAGCCAGGCACGCAGGCAGGGACAGAGCAGCTCTTGGGGTCGATGCTGCGGGCTGAGAGCCCCACAGAGCTGCTGACGCCCGCTGCCATTGGCTCTGTCCCCTGCAGCATGCGTTTTGTGTCATCGTGTGGACGCTGACCCGGACACCTGCGGAAACAGACGGGAGAAATACGGGCTCTGTGCCCACATGTTCTGCCTGGTGAGTGGCTCCGGGCACTCCCTCCCGCATTGCAATGGGCAGTCCCTGCCACCCTGTCTTCATCACCTCTTCCCCTTTTCTGCAGTATTTTGCCACTCTTCTTTTCCGGCAAGAAAAGAAACAGGTTGGATTCCTGGGTTTTCTTCCTCAAGATATCCAATGTGCAGTCAGGCGGGCGGCACAGAAGGTGAGAGCCTGGCAAAAGAGCAGGGACATTTGTGCCAGGAGACGTTTGCCAGAGCTTAGCCCAGAGCCCCAGCAAGAAAGGCCGGCCATGCAGCCAGCTGTGGGACAAAGTCTGGCTCCCAGCAGCTCCAAAGAGGCCCTGGCACAGGTGCTTCCTCCACCAGCTGGCTCTGTGGGCTGAGAGCCAGCAGCAGCCCCATCCTGCTCCCTGCCCGCAGCCCTGGGGCTGCCTGGGGAGGCCCCGAGGCTGCCGCTGATGGGGCTGCCTGGCTCATTCCAGCACTGCTGCGTCTGCGGCCAGAGCGGGGCCACCATCATGTGCTGCGAGGAAGGCTGCGACAGATGGTTCCACCTGCCCTGTGCCAAGGAGGGCGGCTGTGTTACGCAGTACATTGCCCCATACAGGTAGCTCCTCTCCCCTTCTGGCCACCCTTGGGGAAGGACCAAGACTTTCTCATTATGCCCGTCCTTTTGCCCCCAGGTCCTACTGCCCTGAGCACCGTCCAGAGCAGATGGTGCAGGTGACTCCAGAGCCGGGCACCGAATGCCCCATCTGCATGGAGCCAGTGGAAGACAGAATGACCTTTACCACCATCGTGTGCCCAACGTGCCAAAGAGCCTGGTTCCACAGGGACTGCCTCCAGGTGGGAGCCATGCCCTCAGGCCTGGGACACAGCAGGTGCTCAGCAGCACCAGGGCCTGGCTCACACTGCTTCTGTTTGCCCTGCAGGGACAGGCCATGCGTGCTGGTTTTTTCTCCTTCTGCTGCCCCCTCTGCAGAGACGATGGCATGTTCGCTGTCGAAATGTTCATCATGGGAATCCGCATCCCCTTCAGGTTGGTGTCCTTCTGCGGGGCTCACAAGACAGGAGGGTGCAAGTGCCGTGCTGTGCCAGGCCCTGCCCCAGCAGTCCAGGCCCTGCCCCATCCAGGGAGTCTGGACTTGCGCTTCTCACGGGACTTGGAAAAGCATTGGAGGAAGAGCAGGGACACCCTGTTACGTCCATGCGGTCAGGGCAGCAGAAACACATGAGCTTTTCCTTTCCCCATCAGACTGCCAACATGGGAGGACAACGACGCCTTCGCGGATCTGAGAGTGCGTCACAGCAGGTGCAATGCCAGGGAATGCCTTTACCCAGGAGGCAGGGAGGAGGCAGAGGAAGAGGGGTGAGTTGGGAAGCTGCACCCGGGGCTCTGCAGGGAACCTGTGTCTCAGGAAGGGCTCAAAGCGGAAGGAGCCAGTGGTGCTCGGCTGCACAATCCCGTGCTGGGACACTTTGTTCTCAGAGCCATCAACCCGTTTGCTTCCCCAGGCCCTGGAAGCTGCTCCTGTGCTCCTCCTGTGCTGCCGAGGGCACCCACAGGCGAGCTGCTCCTGTGCTCCTCCTGTGCTGCCGAGGGCACCCACAGGCGCTGCTCTGGCCTGACAGTGAGGAGAACCCGCTGGGAGTGTGACAGCTGTGCTGGTCTCGGCACAGGTATGAGGCAAAGCAGGCGGGTGTCCCTGGGCTGGGGCCAGTGCCCAGGCTGGGCACGGCAAAGCCCATGGGCTCCTGGAGGGCTGGGGGCAGTGTTCTGGTTGGGCATGGCCTGGGAGGCCTCTGACATTCCTGTTTGGCTTTACAGCCCCCAGGGATGAGCAGCCAGAGCTCAATGGCCCCAGCCGGATCAGACAGTCAGGACTGGAGCCTGCTCACGGCCTTTCAGAATCCGAGGCCATCAGGCCGAGCTCCAGCAGCGCAGTGCCATCGGGTCTGGCTCCCCAGTCTCCAACTCCAGGGACCAGCAGCCACAGAAGCCCCCGGCATGCAGTTTCTTCCTTGGCAGACACCGGCAGCGCACGCACACCAAGGGCAAGATCCAGCAGCTGGACGGGCCCTGAGGACAGGGTCCATTCCAGACATGCTGGGCCTGACCGCAGGCGAAGGCGCTCTCAACAGCAGAGGCGGGCCTCAGATGGGGCCGTCCGGTCGCGGAGTCGCCATGACAGGAGCAGTAGGAGAACATCAAGTGCAGAGAGGCGCAGGCAAAGGGAGACACCGTCGCGGGCTTCCCGCAGACACAGCCGCTCCCGGCAGCAAGCTCATGCCCAGAGTCCACCTGCCCGGTCGAGGAGTTGCCATGACAGGAGCGGCAGGAGAACGTCGAGGGCAGAGAGGCCCAGGCGAAGGGAGACGTCCTCAGGGACGTCCCCGAGACGCAGCCGCTCCTGCGTGCAACGTCGAGCCTCGGATCAACCTGTCCGCTCCAGGAGTCGCCAGGACAGGAGCAGGAGGAGAGCAGCAAGTGCTGAGAGGCCCAGGCGCAGGGGGACACCGTCGGGGACGTCGCGCTGGAGCAACCGCTCCCGCCAGCCACGTCGGGCCTCAACTGGGACCTCCAACAGCAGCACGTAGTGTCACCTTTTCTTTCTAGTCCCTCTGTTTGCTGCCGTAAGTGAAGGTGAGAAGGGTCAGTACAGGGACCTCGAGACTTGCAGGTCTGTGGGAAAACCGAATTAGCTCTTGGCATTTCCACGATTCTTGATTTCTATGTTACCATGTATTGTGTAGGGAAAAGTCACTTAAGCACATAGCTGATTAAAAAGGACACTCATTCCTGTCTTTAGACAGATATTTCCCCACTGCTTACCCTTGAACGTGAATCCTTAATGGCTTGGATACCTTTAGGGAGACATGACGAGCAAGGTGGCTCTTAGGGAAGCTGTCTTCGAAAAGGACATGTGTTGAGTCGCTATCCTTAAACAATCTCATTTCAGTAAAGCCTTTCTTCAGTAAAGCAGAGGGAGAAAGAAGAGAGTGAGACACTGCTTTCAGTGTCTGAAGAAATCGATTGCGACACTGCTGCTGATTTAAAACACTTGCTTGGACCTTCAAAGATGAAACCGGAAAAGACAGTGGAAACAGGCTGGGACAAAGAGGATGCACAGGACTCTGCCCCAGACGAACGTCTGGGACCTTTGCCTGAAAACGACAGAACTCAGGAGTCCAGTGCTTTCCAGTTTTCCTTCTTTGGAGACACAGAGGAGTTGGGCATCAAAGAAGGTAAGAGCAGAACCCTCCTAACGGAGCCATTTCTAAGGAACGGCTTCTGGCAGGCACTGTAGAGCAATACGGTGTAAAGAAGGTCATAATCCAGAGGATTTTCAGCAGCAGAAGTCAGTACTTCTGCTGAAGCATTCTGATCCTCATTGCTGCTTGCCAAGGCTGTGGGAGATTAATGAGAGGTAACTCCTGCTTGCATCTCAGGAATTTTGAAAGGCACGCCTTGAGAAGGCATTGGGATTTTTGCAGAGCGGTGAAAAAGCTTCCCCTAAACTTCTCAAGCAGGGAAAAAGGTGGCACAGCAGTCATACCAAGTTACATGGAAGCCAACAGGATTTTAAGGAAAATGGGTGTTAAGGTAGAGGGAGGAACAAAATCCTGGAGTTGACCCCAAGCTCCATGAACATTCTGTTAGTTACTGAATTCTATTCCTGGACCTTCAGAAAAAAGAAACTGAAGGATCACTGGGGTGTCCTAAGCTCGGATAAAATAAGGCCTTATGAAATGCAGATGAAGGAATATTTAATCAAGTCTCAGTCAGGTAGGAATGAAAGGAAACCGTGCCAAGTTACCCAAAATATTAAAAAACAACACCACAAAGCAACAAGCCCACCACACTTGTGCTGAATTCAGAAGCTATTCACTGTCTTCTGGATGTGATGCTAAATGTTTAAGAATGCATAGGAGATGCCTAGAACAAAGTGGAAAATCCTGGAGGAGAGCTACAGCTCAGAAAATCAGGGAGAAGAAGATTTTGTCCTTCCTAAATCTGTCTTCTCCAGTGTAAATATTTCACTTGAAAAGAGGAATTTTTCCGGGCAAGCAGAGAAATAATTTGGTTTTGACTTGCTTTCTGTTTTGGTGCTGGTTTTGCAGAGCCTTACGTACTTGGAACGACAAAACCGGAAAACGTCAGGTGGCGACAGGATTCACATTTCCAAGACATCCCGTCTGGGGCTGCTGGTGAGCCGGAGATGTCAGAAATTGAAAAGCACCAAGGAAGGCAAGTTCCATTTGTATTTGTTGTCTACTTGGCTGTAGTAGTTGGATGCTGTGGGAATATTAATGGCAGCACTGAGAAAATGGGAAACTGACACTGCACACCTCTGAGCAGTGAGAGCCAAAAGGCAAAGACACAGTCAATTTTATTGTAAAAAGTGGGGTTCTTTAATAGAAGGCTTTATTTGCATACTATGGAGTAGAGCTCTTCCATGTACACCATTTCTCTGAGGCACTACAGCTCTAACTTGTGCTCAGGGCATTTGATAGGACCTTTGAGATTGATAAAACCCCTTTGTACTTGTCTAGGGTTCTTTCTCTACCACGCACAGAAAGTGCTAGAGTTCTCTTCTTCTCCATAGATGACGAACGCCTAAGAGGTATGACACAACTTGTTCAGTCCCCTTTTCTATATTTTTCCCTTTTAAACCCTTACTGGACTTGAGTAAGGAGGAAAAGATGCCTCCTGGTTATGAATGCTCTGTAGTCAAAATTTGCCATCCTTTCTTGTGGTCAAAGTTGTGGTAGAATCCCACGAGACAGTCCTGGTAAAAAATAAAGGCTGAGCAGCTTTCTGCCTTTCCTTTCTTTCAGATAATTACCTCATAGCTATAGGAACTTGTAGAGCTTAGGAAAAAAATAGTCACTAGACAGGTTACCGAGACATTTGGGATCTTTTCAGGTAGGTCTATCATTTTTAACTTTTTCCTGTCTTTCTGGTGTTACTGTTAGGAATGCTGAGGGTTCTTGTCAGCGACATATGTCCGTGCGGTTCTTCATCCTAGTGAATCTGGGGCTTGCTCTTCTGAAGCCAGTGAATTTTCTATTTCAAAACAAAGACAACAACAACAAAAGAAAACATACACAGCCCCAAAAATTACACAGGTTGCCAAAACAATTGCTTGTTCTATTTTGTAGACTATAGTCTCAAGTCAGGCTTAAATGACGTTCCTTTCTTGAGACTTGTTAGATAACGCTGGTGAAATGTATGGCTGTGTTCATACAGTTACTGCCCTGCAATCTTCCAGCCCATCAGATTTGCAGGGTGTGTTAGAATGGAGATCTCAGCCCTTGGCAGGCAGCGCTTCTGGGGGGCAGCTGTGGGATCCTGCTGCTGAGCATTTAATGCAAGAGCTGCTGTTTCACTGCAATTTAGATTTCAGCATGTTCAGGGAGACAGCTGCTGTCTTTCATTTTTCTTAGTACACCAGGCTGCAGTAGGGAACGTTTCTGTTGGAGCCGACATGTGGTGGGGGGCAAGAGAATAGGAGGGACGTGAAGAATAGAGCTTCTGACTTGACTGTTGTGTTGTTCATTCATGTTTGTTGGGAGCAGCAGCAGAATCACAAGTGTTGAACCCTATTGATTGGTGTTCTGTTGTGTTTTCTTTTGTGCAGAGGGCCCAAAGTAATTTTTTGTAGATCTGTAGAGTTCAGTGAAGAATAAGAGGGTTGGGAAGAAAGACGTAGATTATTGCTTGAGGTGAGTATGGAACATCTGTTCCCTGGTAACTGTGGCTGAATGCTGAGCATGGGGAGGGAACACGGCTATGGATGTGCACGCAAAATTAATTCAGGACCTCCAGAAGAGCCTGAAGCTTTGTAACTGTCAGGGAACAAAAGGCTGTTAGTATACTGGTGTGTGTAACATCATGTTGTGATGTCCAGCCACGTAAATCACTGCATCTCTCTCTGTTACAGGAGCAGCTAGCTAACTAGGTGTAAGGGAAGTGTTTAAGAGAAACAGTGAATTTAGAGACTTCTGCGAGTAGTGGATTCAAAAACTTCTCCTAGGAATATGTTAGGTTTTCATTAGTTTCTGGATCGTCTTAGGAAGCATAAGAATTCCAAATGGAAACTGAAACCAAACTAATAAAACCTTTCTTGAAAAGAATCATGTCGTATTTGTTCCTTGAAGAAGTTGCCAAACAACATTACCTTTTAAATCCTTTCAAGGACCTAACAGGAAAAAATACTGTCAAACCCGGTTAGGCAGTGTTTCTGAGCTGGCGCTGATGCTCTCGGGTTCCGGGGAGCCACGGGAAGGCTCCAGTCCAGACCGTCCGCTCAGGCTGGGGCCATTGAGCTCTGGCTCGGCCCTGGAGGCTGTGAGGGCAATCAGCAATGTCAAAGGCCTCCCAGGCCTG